GAGACGAAGACACGGGTAGTTTAGCTCCCACGGGGCACCTTGGCCAGAGCCCCCTGCCCACACAAGGTTGAGTGTCCAAAGCATGGCAAGAGCAGGCTGGGCATGCAGGATCCAGGGACATGCTGCCAGGGAGGGCAGGACGGGACGGGACACGCTGGCCCTTCATCCCTGCCCAAGGGGAAGCTGGAGACCAGCAGGTCTGCGGGAGATGAGGGGGGTGGGAGCGGGGCTGTCACGCTGGAGCGCTTCCCCTCCAGGAAACAGGCTTTTCGCATCCTTTTCCTGTCGCTGAGCTGCAGATAAACACTGCCCAGGCTTTCACTGGGCTCTTCCCTCCTCAGCACCCAGTGCAGCTCCATCCCTGGGGAGGCACATGGCCATCGTCATCGCCACGGATGCCCCACAGCCTCCCGGCAGCTCCAGCACAGCAAAGCGACGCCGGCTCTCCCAGCATCCCCGGCTGCGCCTGCCTGACCGACCTCTGGGATGCTTTTGGGAGCTTGGTCTGCTGCACAACAGCAGCCAGACGGTCTCCTTCCAGACGGACTGATGGACAGGCGTACAGCCTTCCCGGTCCTGCTGCCTGGTGTCCTCCAGCGGGAACCCGGCGATGTCCCCAGGGCTGGCACGTGTCCCCCACCCACCGGATGGCCAGCAGAGGCTCCTGTCCTTTGCCCCGCCAGTAATGGTAGCCATGGTGTCCCACGATGTCTTCCACCGCTGCCAGGATGTGGTCAAAGGCCTTGATGGAGGAGAAAAGGATGAGAGCGGTGGTGAGGCTGCGGGTGCCCTGGGGTGCCAAGGCTGTGCCATCACCCCTGCCCAGCGCCAGCCGTGCAGGGAGCCGGGCAGCCTCTGGCGCCAGCACCTACGTGCTCGTGCAGCTCCTCATTCAGCGTGGGCTTGTGGTGGTCGCTGCGCTTCACCTTCAGCCACGTCACCAGGGGTTTGATGGTGAGGCCCTAGAACGGCAGGAGAAGGCAAGGGAAAGACTGGAAGGGCGAGAGGGTGCGTGGCTGGGGCATGGGAGCAGAAGCAGCACAAAGTGACCAGGGACAGTAGCTGTGCCGGCTGTGCACGTCCCTACCAACCCGACCTCCTGTGCCCAGGACCTGGGCAACGGTGCTGTGTCCTGGCAGGCAGCGACCACGTCGTACCCGCCCAGTCCCCTTTCCCCAAGGCTGGCATCCATCCACCGCACAGTTCCCCTTCCTGGGGCACAGGAACCCCAGATCCAGGAGCCACCAGCAGCTCTGTAAGGAGAACAGCCTGGCCAGGCATATGCTGTTGCTGCTCCTGGAGCCAGTCCCAGGACAAGAGGCCAACAGGGAAACAACATGGGCCATGGCCCCACCACCATGACCCTCCCCTTTCCCCAAGGCTGGCATCCATCCACCGCACAGTTCCCCTTCCTGGGGCACAGGAACCCCAGATCCAGGAGCCACCAGCAGCTCTGTAAGGAGAACAGCCTGGCCAGGCATATGCTGTTGCTGCTCCTGGAGCCAGTCCCAGGACAAGAGGCCAACAGGGAAACAACATGGGCCATGGCCCCACCACCATGACCCTCGCCGTGGTGGTCCTGCACGCCAGCCTGGTGATGGATGGGGTGCCAGGAGGCACCGAGGACCAAAGGTGACTTGAAAAGAGGTACTTGCCCCAAGCACATGTCCCCGAGTGCCCGCCTGGCCCACCCTCACCTGCACGATGACAGTGAAGAACACCACCACGATGGTCGTTGCCACAAAGTAGTCCTTGGCTTTGACTTTTGCCGGGTCCAGCAGGATGACCAGGGCGAAGGCCACGGCCCCGCGTAGGCCACCATATGACATGACCACCTGGTCGATCCTGTCCAGAGGGATGAGACGGAAGCGGTTGAGCACGCAGGTCTGGAGGACAACACCTAGGGAAGATGGAGAAGGAGAGCCCAGGATGCCGGCAGAGCCCTGCCTGCCCCTGGAGATGGGGCAAAAGCCCAGACAGGAGCCATGGCTGGCCTCGTGCCCCAGCCTTTCTTGGGGGATGCCACTTTTCGGCACGAAAAAGGCTGGGTGCTACCCGCCAGAAACACAGTTGAGTAGACTGACCCACAGCTCTGAAGAGCAGGATAAAGAAGAGGGTGCCCAGCACCAGTGCTGTGTCCCATGCCCACTTGGAGGTGTCCACAGCCGAGATGCCCAGAAACATGAAGATGATGGTCTCTGAGCTGCTGGCCAGTGTCTTCATGGTGTACTTGACCGTGGTGCGGGATTTCTGGGAGATGTTGGCTTCCACGTACTTCTTGCAGCAGATCCCACAGAAGGTGACTCTGCAGAGGGGCAGAAGGAGGCGGCATGACCCTATGGCGGGATGAGGAGTGGGTCTGCTCGCCACCTCTTGCTGCTCAGCACCCCTGATTTCCTGGACCTCCCACTCCAGGGGATTTGCCAGTACTCACGCCAGGATGGAGGAGAGTGAGACCATCTCGGCAGCGAGGTATGCGACGTAGGCCAGGAGGAAGACGAAGAGCGGCTCGATGATGCGCACGCGCTTGGTGAACCGCGTGATCAGGGCCAGGAGGAAGGCGAAGAGCAGCCCCACGGCCGTGCCCCCCAGGCTCACCAGGAAGAAGGAGGCTGGTGGGGGGAGAAGATTTGTTTGCACCATGCACAAGCGAGCCCAGCTCCTGTGCCCCACGGCCATCCCATGCTGGGCTGGCTGAGCCCTGTGCTACCACCCAAGTCCCCACCAAAGCATCCCATGATGGCGGCCAGCATGTGAGCACCAGGATGAAGGTGACAGAGCTGTGGTGCTCAGTGCCCACCCCACAGCACCCGTGCTTGCCCCCCCCACTTCCACACTGGAGGAAGAGGCGGAGGGGCTGGTGGGGCACATACTCACCTACCCCCTTCACGTAGTCTGTGGCACGGATGTGCGCTGGGCCCAGCTCCACAAAAGAGTTGAAGACCTTGTAGAGCACCTGCAGGCAAAGCGAATCCCTTGGGGAAGGCAGGGAATTGCCCTTGTGGGCGGGATGGACCCTGTGGAAGAGGCATCACCTGCCCCACATCTGCCAAGTGGCATGGCTCACCTCAGCAGGCAAAATCCCCCAAGGCCAGGAGAGAGGAAGGACACAGGGAGCACGGCATGGGTCTGCTCCCAGCTTGGGGATGTCACCTGCATCCTCCACCCATCCTGAGCATCTACATTAGGGTTCCCCAAGCTCCAACTCACCACGGTGACAGCATCGTTCAGGAGAGATTCGCCAAACACGATGATGAAGAGGGTCTCATTTACATGGACCTCTTCGAAGACGGCCAGCACTGCCACGGGGTCCACAGCTGAGATGAGGCTGCCGAAGAGCAGGAAATCCATCAGCCCAGCTTCAACGCCTGGATCTGCTAGGACAGAAGGACCAAGCTCAGGTGGACCATCTGCCCCAGAGCCCCTCTCACCCTCATCTGCTCCGGTGACTTGGCTGCAGCATCCCAATGTGGAGTGCAGTGGGCTGAGCCCAGGGGTGCTCCCACACCTCCGGGGTCTCCCCGGCGAAGCAAGGTTTAGCACATCCTTGCTGCAGCACGAAGGGAGCAGGGCTGGGACATCCCCCCAGGTGCATTGCTGCCCCTCCAGTAGATGTGCACCGAAGGAGGCTCGGCAGCCCCACCTCGGGTCACCTGGAGGTTCCTCGGTGCTCAGGAGAGCTCAAAACACGGCCCAGGCCAGTCAAGGGCCAGAGGACAGGGAAGACAGCAGTGAGCCGGCAAAGCCAGCCAAGGTCGGTGACAAAAATAGCAAAGACATGAGTCAGCCCGGTGCCGAGCGTCCTGCACGCTTGACGGTCCTGCCAGAGCACCATTCCCAGGGGTGCCAGGACCCTGCTCCTGCCCTGATTCCTGGGAATCCACAGCAGG